TAGCATTAAAATTCCTAGAAATATAATCAAAACTATAAATTCCTTTATCCTTGTGAAAAACTTTCCGCCTAATTTTGGAGGAGAACAAAATGACATTAAATTCGCATCCTGGGCTGCAAAGTGAAAGCAAATCGTTTGAACCTTTTTCTTTCTTTTCTCCTTATTGAAAGGTACACAGTATTGTTCAAGTGGTCAAGAAACCCAATCAACAGACGTAAGGCAAAAGCACCGGTGGGCACCCTGAAAATAATTGTCATTAAACTTAATCGATCCATAGAATACCAATCAATTATTAGCAAATTCAAACAGAGAGGTAGTTTTTAGCACATCATGGGCTCTACCAAAAAGGAAGGACATTTTAATTTACATTAATTACTGCCATTTGAACTCCTAGTTTCACAACTATCCTCGTTGTATTGCAACCCAAAAAGGTAATTTACAACAACTTAATACTCCTCCGATCCTAAATAGAAGACCTTTATACACACTAGTATAAAAATCTTATATTTAGGACTGGACAAGTATAAAATATCTTCCGTAACTAAGATATTTTAAAATCTCAAAAATGAATTTTTGCAACCTGAAAATAGAAAATATTTATTTAAAGGGTACTTATATTGTAATTTAAAATGTTGGATTAAAATATTTTTAAGGTTTTAATTACATATATACAAATCTTATACATTATAAATTATTTATGTGTTTTCTAGTCCCAAAAAAAATCATAAGAGAAAACGAGCTATTTTGAAGGCTAAAATAATTAATTTTTCTTTTTAATTAAATAGGGCCATTCTGGTCATTCAACAACAATCACAAATTTCTAATGAGGCCTCATTACGTAATTAGAAATTTATTAAAAGTGTAGGTCTTTCTGAATTGGATTTAATTAGATTCTTCTTTGGGGGAGGGGGTGTTTACAATGAGATATGTGGTGTGTTCATAGCGTTTTCTAGAAGCCCCATGTCGCCAAATATGAAAAAGAGGGGTGGGGCATGTTGCAAAGATTTTGTTTAGCCACTGGTTTTTTTCCTTGAAAAACATATAAAAAATGATAAAAAAGAGCTGGAAATCACAAAATGTCAAACAACGAATGTCAACAAAAAAATTACTGTTATTTACAAATTCAATATTGTCAATATTAAATAAAATATTTATTACCAAACCTGATTTGAGATTTTAATTTTCAGCTTTTTTTTGTCATTTTTTCAAAAATAAATTGGGTTTGGTTGGATCGATTTCATTGTTGACCAGTTTAGCTAATTTTTAACTAGTTCTCTCCAAACCTGACTGTGATTTGGATTGGATCAAAAGCCAAACCCAATTGACTAAGAGCTTGTTTGGCAACACATTATGTCATGCCAAAGTAACTTTGGGAGAATGACAAAAAAAGACTATAAAAATTGCAAAATCTCAAATCAAATATTTTCACAAAAGTGTGTTGTTATTTGCAATTTAATTGTTGTCAAAACATATTAAAAGTGTTGTCACACATCTTGCTCTGAGATTTTGCAATTTTCAGGACTTTTTTTTGGTTATTCTCCCATTAACTTTTCTATTATAAAATACCACTTTGACCTAACATGTGGTGTTGGAATAATTTCAGAGAAAATAAGTTTTCTAGCAAAAAAGTCAAGTTAAAATTGAAATTATTTTTTCTTGTTTTAAACTTTTTTTATATTATTTTAATTTTTCTGAAACTGAGTTTTCAATGTGTCATATAAATAAATTTTTACCAAACTGAAAATTTTATAAACTTTTTATTCCAATATGAATCACATCACACTATTACATCAATTTCAACTTGTAAAAATCAGTTAAAATAAAAGTCACTTTTACCAACGTAAATCCAAATTCACAGATCTGATTTGATTTTTAAAACCATACTCTTAATAAATAGATAGTTATTAATGACAATATAAGTATAATAAATATACCATGTGTGTCTACTTTTTCCCCACACTGAATCTATTTCTAGTTATATCTTACCAAACTCTAATAATGGCCGTTGAAATAATTAAATTCGTTCTTCACTCAAAAAGAAATAATTAAATTCGTTATATATGAGTGCAATTAATCTTTCAGTTGAAATTATCAATTGCCAACTATATTCTTGTAACAGCTCACATAATTTACCATATATCAAATAAAAATATTTCAATATTTCATAAGTATTCCTCCAAACAAATCTTTGAAATAATTTAAATAAAATAAAACATTAAAATTTCATGATCATGACAAATAAAATATAACATAATATGTGCCTAAGAATCTCAGAAGCCTTCATAGCTTACTCTATTGGTATCTTCTCTTGATTTCTACTAAATTATTCTCCTGAAAATATTAATATAAAGGATAAGATTTAACGTCTCAATAGCTACTAAAATTCTAACCTATGCAGGCAAGTCTTAATAAAAATTCAATCATACGTACATATCTTTGTGTGTAGATATGAGGGATTTTTACATTCAACTCAATTTTACTTTTAATTCAACAATATATCAATCTCAATTTCCAATATATCCAAAAGTAATGCAATATGCAGTCTCCTTTATATCATCGTCCATCCTTATACCACTGACTCGAGTCATAAGCTAAGGCATAGTCTAAAAGAAATTGATCCATTTTACTGAAGGCATAGTCTAAAAGAAATTGATCCATTTTACTGAATTATTCTAAACTCACCAATACTTAAGATATATTCAGTTAAAAATATAGAGTTCAAGTTCGGACTATAACTTCCTCCTTTAGAAATGAAAATAAGGAAGTGTCACATATTTTATAGTTCCAATGAATTTTTGACCAAAGAAAAACATGAAAAGAAGAGCCCTAGCAAGTGTTATTTACTATATACCGAGTAATAACAACATACCACGTCATAATTGTATATCCATTCGTATCTTCTTCTCTTCTTAGCCTAACAATAAAATGTTATATCAAAATACATCCAAAAATATATTATTATTCGAAATAAGAACAATAAAATTTTAGTACAATCTAACGGTATAGTTCTAAATATGATAATTTAATTAATGATAATTTATAGCAATAATCTTGAATTAAATAAAATAAAAATTAAATTTATTAAAACTCCATTTATTTGAAAACTCAACATATACACACACATTAAATTTAGTATAATGTAATTGGATCAAAAAATATTTATCCACAATAATATAATATTATAATCACACACAGTTTATATGTACATGAAAGAATTTTCAGAATTACTTGTTACTCTTTAGCTTACAAATAATGACAATGATTATTCCAAAATTTTCAACAAGTGTCTACAAAATTACACATAAATATTTATTAATATATGACTCAAAACTATTCTAGAATTATCCTAAAATTCTAAGACTATCCTCTAAATTAAAATTATACAAATATGTTAACTCTCACATCTAACTATTTATAATAGATACAATATTATTTGCAAATCAAAATTTTCATATGATAAGATTTAAATTTTATAACTTAAATGAATATATATTTAGTACCCAAAATTCGAATCTCATGTTAAAATCTCAATTATTTAATTCTAGTCTCATTTAAATTTTTTCACAACCTAAACAACTCCTTTGAATTATAAATAAATTTCTATTTCATTTCATTTTCATAAAATTCTCAATTTATAATTTAAGTCTCCAACTTAAAATTTCTTTAATAATATATCTTTAACTTATTCAATATTCAAACCGATTGAAAACATCAATAATGTATTAAATAACTCCAAATAAATTATTCAACTTAAATTTAATTCGTATAAACATTCTACATGTCCTGAATAATAAATTTTTCAACTAAAATCTTAATTTAAAATTCTTGGAACAACCAATGAACAGATATAAACCAATTAAAATTTATTAATAATTTATCTTTAAATTTCTATATGATCATATATTAGCAAAACTCATTACTTACTCTATACCCAAATCGTAAAATTTTCTCTAAATATTATAATAACACTACTAATATAAAACACTAAATATATAAGAAATATAAATGAAGATAATTTGATAAAAAGAAGTATTTTGTGTATCTAAATGATCCTCAAACCTTGTCTTATGATTTAAAATGACTGAAACCGGCCACTGCAACTCTTTGCTTCTCCCTCACTCTCTCTTTCTCTGCCTCTCGCTCTCTATTTCTTTCTCTCTGCACGCGTGAAAACATTAAATTCCCCTCCTCATTTTCTTGCCTAATACCCCCCTTCCATCCTTTTTTATCATATCACCCCTCCTCTCATTTATCTCTTTCTAACCACGCATCTCTCTAATTTCTACTTCTTCGTAAAGATCCCCACATTTTCCACCGAATTAGGCGGAAAAGGTGGTTTTATTTTTTTAAAAAAATTAGGATAATAATAATTTTTAATTATTATATTAATTTTTTAAAAAAAAACTTAGTATGTTACAATTTCTATGTACATACAAATATCAACTTACCAATTAACGGACAATAGTTTCGTACTCGTCCATCAACTTGGATCGCAGAATCAAATGATTTTAAGAGTACAAATACGATAAGCAATCTCTCGACCAAAACGACTGTTCGTCTTTTGAAGAAATAATAAACAAAGCAATATAGAAAAGACAACATTGGATGTGGTCGTGGTTATTAATTTAATTCCAAGTGTGAACGCATAAGATTCCACCATCCCATCACTACTTCTTTCCATATTCTCTTTTCCAGCTTCCTCTTTCTTTCTTAATTTCTTTCGTTTTTTCCACGTAAGCCCTACTTTTTCTCTGCTATAAATAGGATCTTCCCAAGGCGTGTGTCTTCCACATTCCATATATCCAAATCTCATTAATTCACTGCCTTCTTCTTCTTCTTCTTCAATACACAAAAATCTAGCTAGCTAGCTTAGCTTCCATGGCAGATCACAAGCCAAGCCAAATCACACCAGCTTCTCCCAGCGAATCTCCCCCAAAGAACCCTTCAAAAACATTCATTTTCGACATAGAATCACACCAAGAAAACCCTCATGATGATCACCGGAAAGATGAGGTTGAGGTGGTTGATTATGCCCAAAGAGCTCAATGGCTTCGAGCCGCCGTCCTCGGAGCCAACGACGGCTTGCTCTCGACGGCTTCACTCATGATGGGTATCGGAGCCGTTAGGAAGGACGTCAAGACGATGCTCCTCACCGGAGTTGCTGGCATGGTCGCCGGAGCTTGTAGCATGGCAATAGGAGAGTTTGTGTCGGTGTACTCACAGTATGACATCGAGGTAGCTCAGTTGAAGAGGGAAGGCAAAGAGGTAAACAAAGCCGAGTTGCCGAACCCGTTTTATGCTGCGGTGGCCTCTGCGGTGGCCTTCGCTGTGGGCGCGGTGGTGCCACTGCTCGGGGCGGCGTTCGTTAAAGATTACAAGGTGAGGTTAGGGGTGGTTGTGGCTGTTGTGAGCCTTGCGTTGTTGGTATTCGGAGTTCTAGGCGCAGTTTTGGGAAAAGCTCCGATGGTAAAGTCATCTTTGAGGGTTTTATTTGGAGGTTGGGTGGCCATGGCAATCACTTTTGGCTTAACAAAGTCTGTGGGTTCCATGGGGCTTTGATCACACATATCTTATTTTTAATATTGTTTTAAAAAGCTTTTGATTTTTCTTGTTCAAGTTAAAAAGTAACTGCAACCTATATACATGATGTAATTTTAATTAGGTTGATGGTTTCACTGAAGTGATCAGATAAAAATTGTACTTTAATTTTCATTCCTTCTCTATTTGCTGTTATTTTAGGGTTTCACAGATTCTGAAATTCCATACTATATGCTTGATCTTTAATTTTAATGTGAAGTTTTTGTCACATGCCCCTTATTTCTTCCTTTCTTTCTTTTATCTTTTTTCCGCCTTTTTTGCATGGGTCGTGTTATTAACATTCACATATAGTTATTATATTATTGGCTTTTGACTAAATAATCTCAATACCAACCTATATATATGATGTAATTTTAGCTTGAATGTTTCACTAAAGTGATCAGATAGATAAAAATTGTATTTTAACTTTGATTCCTTCTCTATTTGCTGTTATTTTATGGTTTCACAGATTCTGTAATTCCATACTATATGCTTGGTCTTTCCTTTTAATGCGCAGTTTTTGTCATACGCCCACTTTTTTTTTTTTACATATATACACGTGTGTGTGTGTGTGTGTGTTTGTGTGTGTGTGTGTGTGTGTGTGAAACACATAAAAATGCGCGTGTTCATAGTGATTTGAGATTATTATGGAGTATCTATAAGCGTTACTTTTAAAAGAATTAGTAATCGCGACTTAAGTATGAGATTTCAAGTTTAAATTAGTGTAATAGAAAAAATTAATTAAGTCTGATTACAATGTTTAATTTTAACTTAATAATAGTGAATATGGTATAAATATATATTAAAAAGGTAGAGATCAGTAGATCACTATGAACTAGAATGACCCAGTGAATCACCAATTATAATTGTGAAGCTATTATTCCTTAATCACGATGGTTTATATTTTTCTCATAGGCAGCATGAACCTATAATAGATTAAATATACTTCTTTATGCGAGTATAACCTATAGCCAACTACAAATTCTTCATTCATCATTTTCAGTGTACTATTGAAATCTTTCTCTCTGTTTTTTTTTTTTTATATGCATGCAGTGCTGAAATTTAATTAAGAGGCCTGTGTTAGTCACAATTATTATTATTATTTTTTTAAATTTTGGCTTGAGCATTAGATTTGCTGGTACCTCCATTTTAAAACAATTGCATGTCAGCTTAAACAGTGAAATTAAGGGAAAAAAAACATTAAATAGTCTAGTTTTAGTGAAATCCTGAAACTTTTAATAATGTAAAACCAACATTTCAAAGTGACTATACTATTTCTTCATCAGCTAAGGTTGACATGATAATTTAGCGTTTCAAGGAAATTCAAAACAGCTTATATATATATATATATATATATATATTAAAACCTTGATTAAATATTTGTCTGTTTCTTTCTTTACAAGAAGGGAATCCCATAAAATGGAGATATAAAGTTAAGAAACAAAAAGAAAGGCAAAAATAATAAAGTGATTCCACATATTATTATTCTACAGCAAATTAATATTCTTTGCGTTAGTGCTGTAACGTCTGAATAAAGTGCAAAGGGCTCTATTATGTACAAACTATTCGTGCAAGGATGAATGAAAAGGACACTATATTTCAAATTTATTTTATTAATTCACTCACAAAATTTGGTAAACAACTAGCGTTGATCACTTCTAATAAGCTTTTTTGTTTTTTTGTTTTGGTTATAATTGCTTTGATCACTTTCAATGATAATTGCTTTCCCTAAAGTGGGTTTATCTTGTCAAGTGAGATTGTAAAACTTTGATAATGCATAAATATGTTAGTAATATTTAAAGATTATCTGGAACTATATTAGTAATATTCAGCGATCTTTCATCTTGGTAAAAACCAGAGCTTTGTGCACACAAAGATTTAATGAAGAATTATTACGAGGTTTTAAGGGGGAAAAAAGGTAATAATTAAAATTTTTTAATGATTAGTAGCTAATAAGAACTTATATCATTTACATCAAAAAAAAAAAGAGAACTTATATCATTTTCTGTTATGAAACTTATTATTGTATACTGCTTAGTTATTATTGGACTTTTTAATTATTACATTCTTTTATTAATTAAGATCTTGTAATAATTCTACCCATATTTAAAAGAAGTAACAGAGATGTTAAATTATTGAACTTTGATAAATGTTAGTTTTCATATTAATTATGTATGAGAGAGCTTACAGAACAAGTTTAGAAAAAGCAGTAGTAATTTATGAAAAACACTGGTAATTCCTTTATATAAATTAAACACGATAATAAGTTTTTTCCAAAATGTACGGTAAATCTCTTGCAAGTTGCAATTAAACGGAATCCCTATCTTATGCACTTTTTTTCAGAAAATATTATAGTAACTGTTATTATCATGTTATAATAAAAGATGAAAATATTGTAACGAAAGAAAAGTGAAAGTACTTTACTGATAAAACCAAATTTCAAAAATTGACCAAAAAAACCTATAATTCAGCCGCAAATTCTTATTTATTATAATATGTTTCTTCATTAGTCCTTGAGTTCATCAATTGGGCATTTTCGAGAATTTGCAATTAATATAAAATTTTCAGAATCTTAGTGCTCAGATATAATTTTTGCTAGTGCGCAAAGTGGAGTTCCATTATGACCGCACGTTTTAATTTTCTAAAGCATTTCTGATTGATTGATGATATGCCAAATATCTTATCTTCATTTGTGCTTTGCTGACTGAGATGACGATGAGAGGCATTTGAAGGTAATTTATAATTTACAAATAAAATAATAGGAGGTAGTAATGTGTTCCACACACGAAAGCCACAAGCTTTTCTTTTTTAATTCTTAATTTTCTAAAATAAGAAAAATAAAAAAATTGATGATCTCTATCTATCTTCAAAGTTAGAAAGCAAAAGATTGAATATTAGCAATCAGAATCATCACCACCACAAATTATAAAATTTATAATAATTATCTGTGTTAATTGGATCAAACCTAATGAATTAAAACAATTACATTACAAGAGTTTGATTATATGTGAACTTAGTTAGATAATTCTGAATAACATATGGTTGTATGGAAAAAAAAAATCATGACATGTCAAATAATTTATAAATCATGAGTATTATAATTTATTTAAATTCTATATATATCAAAAGAAAATGTCTCCTTTGTACATCATGAAAAATTTATTACAATTTATATTGTATAGAAGTCATGACAGTGCCTCATCTTCCATACAAGGAATTACACTCTGCTTATTTGAATTGGTTTACATCAGCGAGTCGTAAGTCACTTGTATCCCTTTATGTCTGTTTTCATGAGGGTTCGTCTGGGGAAACTATCGACAATGACATATATAATATTATTAGAAAAAATTACAATAAGGTCTCATCTAAGAAAATTAAATACAAAAAGATCTCTTAAAATAATTAAATTAATCTGAAGTCTCAAAACACCTCATTACAAAAGATTTTACTTATTTAATTACTAAATTGCTCTAATCCTTTTTTTTTTCAAGTATGTATTGACAATTGAAAAAAAAAATCGTTAATAATTTAAGGGGTAGCAATTAGCACCTATCATGAGAGGTATTAACAACTCATGCTTTATATTTTTGTGTTGCGCTAAGAAAATGTGTTGTTAATACCTACTGCAGTAGTTGCTAATGATTATGTCTTAAGTTGTTAACAACTGCTCTTTGCATATTTTTTTAAAAAAAAGATAAGGGTAATTTAGTAATTAAATAAGTAGAATCTCTTGTAATAATATCTCTTAAGACTTCAGATTAATTTGATTATGTCAATAAATCTTTTATATTTAATTCTCTTCATTAGGAGCTTATTGTAATTTTTCCATATTATTTACACGCTACGTTATACAGGGCTACTCGTAGGATGATCAGGAGTTCATTTAATGCTCATCTTGGTTTAGACTATTCAAATTAATTTTGGACACTCTAAATATTCAATTTAAATTTTTTGTGTTTTAAATAATTTTTTATATGTAGAATTGACGTTTCCTAAAAAAAATTTATCATTAAAAAATTACATATTAAAAATTTTAAATCTAAATTAAACTATTCATATCAGATTCTGAATATCTATATCTCATTACAATGATAAGCACATAGTATTTATCACCGAGATAATCACCGAATGAACACCGAGTATCATCAAAAGTGGCTGCAATTGTGATTTTTATGTACTCCCCAACCTGATGGGTACAAAGTCTCGTTCAATTCCAAGTTGAGCAAAAACTTAGGGTTTTATGTGGACTTGGGAAAACAATTCTCTGTGATGAGCTCACGCAGAAAGTAAATGGGAAACTCCAAGCCTGAGAAGCAGTTTCCTTATCTCTAGTTTATGCTCTCTCCAGCTGTAAACTCTCTACAACCTTTTGCCATGCATGAAAATGGCCAAGTTTTTCTGGGACGTATCACAGCAAGGTGATCGTGTTCATGTGCTTATATTTGGGATAAAGTGTGTGTCAGCCTAAGGAAGATGGTGGATTAGGAATGAGATTAGAAAAGTGTCTTATCCAATTACGGATAGATTATAATAATGGATCTGATATTGGTCTATTTAGCCGTCCGTGAGTATCTCTAGGGTGAGTGACCTTATTCTGCAAGATTCAAGTTTCTGGAATATGGGTCTATCAATTAAACCGTTTATACCATTCAGTGATTATGAAGTTTGTTCAAGGTTTGCCTCTTTGTCGGAAGCTTTATTGTACCTGGTCTCTTCCAGTGGTAAAAAGTCGTTTACAGGATCCGATCATCATCATATGCAAATCATTCAAATTGAATTCCGTGATATACATCTGGTTTGGGACTCTGTTCGGATGATGGCTTCACCAGTATCATATAAATGAATTTATCTAATCCTAAATAACAAGTAATATCTCATACTAAAAATTTTTTTTAACATGTTTTCTCAATTTTAATCCCAATTCTGATTCTCACCTTTCATTTCCAGTGTTTCATACCGATGGGGTTGGATGAGTTTTTCTT